AACTTCCACATTATCTACTGCGTTCGAACACTTCCGTCTTTTAACGTAAGAATACAGAGTTCTCACCGAGGACGAGGATGCGGAGAAGCTCCTGTTTACACTCGCACTCTGATAATAACAAGTATACCTCCCTGCAGGGAGGTACACGGTCTAAATGTAGTACAATCAATTCCTGCGTTGAAAACAGCACATAAATGGCTGCACCTTATTCTTTGTTATTTCGAACGTCTGCCGCCAAAGTCAACGGAGCGAACGAGCTTTGACGGCTGTCAGCGCAGGAAGCAGATGACGAGCAGATTACGTGACGTATTTACTCGATTTGATCCGACTTTACCCCCCGATCGAGGAGGGTAGCGCGAGTAATTACTCCGGAGTAAACAACCCGCTTCTGGAACGCGAGTTCTGACGTCATCGAGTAAGTTTGAGTAAGTTTTGGAACCTGATGGTACGAAAACTTTACTCCGGAGTCGGATCGAGTAAATTTTGGAACACAGCCCTAGACGCCTGAAAAATGTTTCTTCTTCTTCTGTCAGGATGAAAGATAATGTACGGATACAGTTTTCATAATTCGTGACGATGCGTTCGGCGTCAATAAGTTCTCTCGGTAATTGATTACAGTGCCTACCTAAAATTGTACAAGACGGCAGGTGAACCTCGCACCCACAATCACGGTATGTGCATGCCCAGGTGGCGAGAGTTAGCTCTGGTACTATTGTTTTTGTGTTCACGGAGCCTATCATTAAGGGGATATAACGAAATTTGAAATGCTCCCGTCGTGTTCAAAAATAGGTTCAATATGATCCACAATGTCCGTAAATGATAATCGCACGTTTGTATTTTGAGCCTGGTGGCTGTATTTTTTGTTATAAACGGCCCACTCTAGCAAGCGCTCGGAGAAGGCCCAGCTTAGAGCACGTGACATGCGACGCAATCGTGACGTAGGTCGTCTCGGGACGAACAAAGCTACGGCGAGGCTGACGTCGAGAGGATGGCCTAGCCGTTCCAGCCACCGAAGCGGCTGCTTTTGTACGAATTGTGAGTGACGGGTTAATCTTCTATAATCTTCTAGGGGGACAATAGCGACTTCTGCGACACATAAAAGGGATTCTCGGGAAGAGGGGAGTTCCTCCTTCCTCTCTTCTTTCGTCGTGCCCGGAGGCGAGACACTCACTATCACTAGCTGTCAAGGTTCCTAGACAGGCATGACAAACGAGGCGTTAGCGACATCCACCAGGTGCTCTTTGCTGATCATTTAATTCGTTTTAAAACTCCTTTTCGTGACATTTTTTCACAAGAGATTGGTATGTTCGACGTGACGCTGTTCCTTTGAACACATATAGACCATAAAATAGGCGCCGAAATTTCGTTGTAGTATTCCCTTAAGGAATCGTCCAGTCTGCCCTATGTACGTTTTAGCGCACGAAGGGGGACATGAATACACAACTTCCTCTGCGCACCATTTCAGTGAGTCAAGGGGTGAAAAACCGATTCCTCCTTTCAATTCAGCACATTCTAATCTGGTAAAAAGAGGAATCGTAAAAATATGTCTAAACAACTCTCTTCAAAAATCTTGCGAGCACTCCATTTGAGTAAGCTTTGATGCGCAAATTTTAAGATTAACATCTGCCGGATTTCCCATCTCTTTATTAACATCGATTGCACAGAGCATCCTGGAAACCAAAAAATAAAAGAACATCTGTCACACCAAGAGCCAGAGATAGAACCACTAGACCAGTCGTTCTTCCCTACGTACACAGGTTCTCTCATGACATCAAAAAAATCACTCATAAGTTACACATCGACGGCGTCTTCTCTGCTCCTAATTAGCTTGCCAACCTGTGCAAACAAGTAAACTCATCATATTCCCACCGAACAGTAACTTGTACGAAGAAACATCAGAACAGCTTCGTTGAGTGCGCAGAGGAAGTGGTGTATTCATTTCCTTTTTCTTGTCTTAATGATAGGCTCCGTAAATACAAAAACAATAGAATCAGAGCTAACTCTAGCCACCTGGGCATACACTGCCGCGATTGTGGGTGCGATATTCACCCGCCATCTCGTATAACTTTAGGTAGGCGCAGTAATCAATTAACGAGAAAAATTATAGAAGCCAAACACATCGTCAGGAATTATGAGAACTGTATCAATATACCATCTTTGAAACTGACAGAAAAATAAAAATATTTTCCAGGCGTCTAAGAAATCGATGCGCGTGATTCGGGAGATTCGGTAGTTCCAGACATAGAAGAAGACAAAGCATATAAAAACGAGTTGTCAGTCAGCGCGGTCCGTCTGAATTTTTTCTTTCTTTTTCTTGTGTAAGGAATGAGTGTACTTTTGCAGTAGTGCGCTGTAGTGTGTGTTAATCTAGTAAGGGTTTTCACCTACCTGCCTAGCCCCGCACACCACCACATGGGCCCCTCCAGTACGTGCAAATAACATTATTATTAGTAGTAGTTGTAGTAATATTATTATAATTATAATTACTATTATTATAACAATCTTGTTTTCGGCTCACAAGTAGTTTGTGCCAAAACAAAATAATATTGCCTTTTAGTTCGCGTTATTTCGCGATTTTCATGTATCTGCATAAAATGAAACACAGAACTACACACGCTCGACGTTGCACATTCGACATTCCTAACTCTTCCCATCTTTATAAACGTCCATGTGTGTCCTAACATCAGAAACCGGTATTTTAAAGGTTAAAAAAAGCACGTTGCGAATATGGGACGCACACTTTTGTGTCAAGCTGACGTCAAGAGACTCAAACCGAAAAACATGCATATTTACAATATTGTTACCTCTTCTGGTGAAGGGTCAGCAGCTGTTGCATTTGTTTTCAGGGACAAAACGGTGACTCCCAGAGAAAGAAAAAACGCAGTGTTATTGCATTTGCATTTACACCACACACACTTGCAGGCTTGCGCTGATGAGGCCTCAAAATCCAAACTCTCGTAGCGCGATTCGTGACTGCGCCGGCTACTACCCAACCTCGTTCTCACGCCACATTCTTCAAGCAGACACTAAAATTGCCGGGAAACACCAAAAGCGACACCGACACAACTATCTTGTAGAATCTCACCTTATTATGAGTAATAACTGTGTCAATAGGCACTACATGTTTTATTTAAGTTAAGACAAAAGAAAAAAAACTTTTTGTTAAAAAAAAACTAAATATCAACGTTCAGTCTGGTAACAGTGTATTTTTTGCTATATCTTCTCCGAATCTTTAGAAAAGTTCGACAAAAGTTCCGCTCCGTTGAATTTTCCATTTGGCAAAAGTTCGGCTCATCACTAGTAAAAATCTGCGACTCGGGGGGGGGGGGGGGGGGGGGGGGGGGGAAGGGGGTGCGGGGTGGTACGCCCAAAGGGTTTGCCCCCCACTCAAAAACAAGTTGGTACGCCACTGATTGTGACGTAACTACTCGGAGCGCTACGGCCTTCTCTTCTAGGAGGTATTGCTATATCTCGATCGTTGGGCGAGGAGGTTTCTCCTCGCCCGCCCTGGGCCACCTGCAGCGCCATCCAGTGGCTAGGAGAGAAAGCGGCACGTCGGGAGCCGAATTCGAGATCCCAATCGACCCCGCGGCGACAGGACCATGTGATCGTGTCTGCGGCGAGGCAACTGCATAGCCGCCTCGCGGCAACGATGCCAGAGTGGTTTGATGGGCGCCCTTGCGAATGCACGGTGCGCCATAGGAGGTGGCAAAAAAAAAATAAAAGGAGATCCATCGGTGGATCTTCAGGGAATGCGTCAGCACGACCCTTGGGAAACGTCACACACGTTCCCCTTTGGAAAAAAAATAACACTGACCCTGTACCGAAGTGAAAAAGAGGCATCGAAAAATAGAGGAAGGAAAAGAGAAAGCCAAAAAAGAAAAGTAAAGGGAGCAGCATTAGCATTTCTCCCCAAAAAAGGCATCAGTGACGTTTCTCAAGAGTCCCCCTAACGCATTTTATACCCCACTTACACGGGCAACCTTAACCTGAGTTGAGGTACCCTTGACTGCAGTTATGCTCAACCGCAGTTACCACACTATACTTTCGGTCAGCTATTTCTCGGAAGTCCAACGTGTGCGTGCGCAGCTTCGACGGGCGCTCAAGATGCGGAAGCGCACGTGCGCATGTCGTTGGTGTCGTCAACGATCCAATCCCCAGGATATAATCAACGAGCTTGGCGATGTCCGCAGCGTCAATATCTAAACGGCTGCCCACTGGGGCCCCTGTCGTGGGCGCCTACGGCTCGGGTACAGTGTGTGCAAGCATGCACTACCAGAGCGTTCGATTAGGGCTCGTGACAATAACTCGACGCGAATTCGGTTAATGATTCGTGCCCGATCGCCGCGATGACGGGAACAGCCGAACCGTATCAATGTTGGAACTCCGTCGAGTGGACGAATGCCGCTCCTTTTTCTTTAATTCCTTCCGCCGCTGTCATTGCGTTGAGAAAAATTAAACTAAGGCACGCTTCACAGCTATAGCTTACGAATTTCAAGGAACGATTCCAAGCGGTATTAACTGAAAGTACAAAAATGGTTACATGGCCCCTGTATTGGCCAGTCGCACTTCCCATGCATACTGCAGAAGACGAGATCATCTGCCCTCGCGCATGTTAGAAACATGTTTGTACGTGTGCGAGCTTCGAACATGTCTGTCCAATCTGGCAGGAAGGAACAAAACTGGGACAGTGCCTGCCGAATGTATTTTAGGCGATGTATTACAGCGCGATCCACTCGTAGTGACAATGAGAAATCCCTAAAATTCAATCGTTATAACCGATTATTGTCGTATCAGGGTGAGAAACTGGGCCTTTCTAGTCTGGAACAGATTGTTATGGGCGGTACATTGTTATAGGTGGTATCGTTATAAGTGGATCGCACCGTAGGTGCATCACCGCGACTAAGAGTTTGTGCAGTGCCCCTGCAATCTTTCGGTCGACCCCGCGCGCGACACCTTTCGCCTGCAGGCCGGCGGAAGGGCGGGCGTTGCGAGCGCACCTTTAGGTAGACGGCGGCCAGCTCCTCTATGCTGCGTGCGGGGACGTCGCGCGTGCGCTGCAGCCCCACGGCCCGCACGGGCAGCTGCTGGGCCAGCTCTGAGAGGGACCCCACGTGGCCCTCGATGGGATGCACCAGGAACACCGGCCCGCCGGGGCGCCCGTTCATCTCCACCGCCACTTGGTCCGGCACCAGCTTCTCGATCAGCGTCAACCGGGGAACCTCCGACACCGACTCGTCCTCTGCGTGGCAAAAGTGCCCGTGAGCCTGGCACACTCGCCAGGTATTTGTAAACTACGGCAAAGAAGATCACCAGAAAAGCTCTTTATTGTTTGGACCATTATTCACTTTGTGCACGATCGCTTTTGGCTCTGGTGATTGACATTCGCAAAATGCGTTCATTTGTACGTATTGTTTTGCAACTAAAGCGGTGTTTGGACGGGCGGGGGGAGGGGGAGAGGGGGGAGGGGCCGACATGAAGTACTTTGATCGCTTACGCTTCCTTGTACTTCAGGTTTGCTTCGCTGCCTGGAACTTACAAGACGGCACAACAATCCTTCGGGCCACAACAGACCTGGATGACATCGGCATTATCGGCAACCTGGATGACATTGGCATTTCCCCACCACTCGACTTCCTACGACTGCCTGCATCTGATGCCTATCGGCTGCCGCTGATTGGCATAAACTTCGACGCGAGGGGACCAAAAGTGGGCACGGCCTTTGACCACAACCTACAAAAGGAACCACCGGTCTCCGTCTGGACGGGGCTCGATGCCGACATGAAGTGCTTCGATCGCTTACGCTTCCTTGTACTCCAGGTTGGTCTCTCTTATTATGATTAGCTACCGTTCAAAACAAAGTTACTTGTCGGTGCCGTGACCCAGCACCATCTTGTTTGTGTATAGTAATGCCATTTGTGAAACCTTCCTATTTCAATGTGCTGTTGAAGCGTATGTAGTTAAGCTGTTACTAATGATGTCCGGAGATATCGAGGACAACCCTGGGCCATTCATAGAGCGACAAGCGGAACAGCTGCTGAAGGCTATTGCGATCCTGCCATAACTAGAAAAAGGGCAAGATTCTCTTTTTAGCGCAACAGTTATAAAACAAAGCCAGCTTATTGTTAAAACAAAACTGGATATCCTATTGCGCAAAATGACTTCACTAGAAACAGAAATGGCGTCGTTAAGTTGTGAAAGTAGAGATGCAAGAAAAAAAAAGGATGTCGCCACAGAGCTTACTAAACAAGTCGATCATCTGTCAGATCGAGGCGTTGCAATGTTATCTTTTACGGAATAGAGGGCGACGAAAAAAGACAACGTTGTCCCAAAAGCACAAATCAAAGTTATGGAACTATGTGAAACTAAACTCGGAACAAAACTTTCCGAATCATTCAGACATAGAGCGCTCCCATAGGCTGGGATGCTTTAGATCTGACAAGCTAAGGCCCATGACTGTAAATATTTTGTCTTTTAAAACAAAACAACACCTTCTATCTTTGGGATTTAAGCTCAAGGATTCTCGAATTGCTATTAGTGTGGATTTTCCCAAAAATATGCGTTACGAACGAAGGCAGCTTTTGCTCTTTGGGAAATCGCAAGGAGATTAAACAGTCTGTTAGAGCTCTATCGTAACAATTCCGTAATCGGCATCATCAACCCGTATCTCCAGTGCTTGATCTTCTTGTTCTGCTTTTGAGCTGTAGCAGTATACAAATAAGGTTGACGACTTCTCCTCCCTTCTTGCATGTATAAAATCTAGCCTAGTCATTGGCCCTGAATTCTGGTTGGATGCTTCTTCTACTGACGCCGAGGTTTTTGCCTCTGACTTTTGTGTCTGTCGCAAGGACAGAAACACGGTCTTTGTCTTGGTTCATCACAACTTGCAGAGCACTGGAATCACTACTAATCACAGTGCTGAGTCAGTATGGTGTAAGGTAGCACTTCAAAACGGTGCATTTTTGACGGTTGGTTTTTTTTACAGATCTCCGGGTTTTAGTTGTCAGTCCCTTCGAGAAATATCAGACACGCTGCTATCTGTTTGCCCTGAATATTTGATACTAGGAGGTGATTTCAACTTTCCCAATGTCCAAAGAGAATCTGGTCTTCCTCGAACGACTAACACGTCTCCCATTTCTTCTTAATTCACCAATTTTATTTCAAGTTGCAATATTTATCAAAACGTAATATCGCCAACAAGAACTGGTGTTGAACGGGCCAGTGTGCTAGATCTCCTTTTTACGATTCAAAAAGCTATTTCGTCTTCTGTATCGGTTCTGCCAGAAATCAGCGACCACGACGTCATTATTTTTAATTTGAAATGAGCTCAAGCTAAAACTTCCAGATGTGTTCCCAGAAGGGTTTACTACTATGACCAGGGTTCTTACTCTAGCCTGACGGAAGACTATTTTCCTTTCATTTGGAGTTTGAGGAACTCAGTTTATCTTTAACGAACGATCTTTCGAATACGTTCTCATGTAAATTAAAGCATTTAATTGATATTTACGCACCATTGAAAATACTACGGTCAAGGCAGTGCAAAGATAAACCCTGGATAAACGGAGAGCTGCGGTCCACCATAAAGAAAAAAAGGTGTGCTTATTTACGCTATCATAAAAACTAAACGACTGAGATTCTTAGGCAACTATAACAATTAAATTGTATCTTCAAACAGCAGCTAAAACGGCGAAACATAGCTCCCATAATTTTCTGGAACAACGTTTAAAAACAAATCCCAAAGCTGTATGGAAATATATTGGGAGTAACAAAAAAGAGGACGCCAGAATACGGCCAATTGACAGTAATGGTACAACGGTATCTGATGATTGCGAGGAAGCCTTATGCTTCAATAATTACTTCCAATCAATTTTTTCCCAACCAGTGACTGGCGTGCTCCATCATGTTCTGGATGAGTCACTTCCTCCAATGTTGAACTTAGAAATAAATACTGACGGAATTCGTAGCCTCCTTCTAAACTTGAACATCAATAAGGCCACTGGCCCTGACGAAATCCTAAATCGAGTTTTGAAGGAATGTGCTGACGTGGTTTCCTCTTATCTCTCTATTCTCTTCCCAAAATCCTCGTCACCCTTAAAGATGCCAGCAAAGTGGAAGGTAGCAAGCGTTGTGCCTGTGCATAAAAGTGTGTCTAAGAGTAAAGTAGATAACTACCGGCCTATATCCCTTCTACCCGCATGCTCGAAACAACTTGAGCACATAATATTTAGCGCTTTAGTCAATCTTCTGAACACGAGCAACTATTTTTCTCCCTTCCAGCATGGGCTTAGAAGCGGCTTCTCATGCGAAACGCAGTTACTAGAATTTTTTCATAATGTGGCGTCCTCGTATGATAGAGGTTCTCAAGTGGATTATGTTTCTCTTGATTTTAAAAACGCGTTCGACACTGATTCACACTAATTAATACTACTTAAATTATCCTCATTAAATATTTCAGTTAATGTGTTACTGTGGCTAAAAGATTAATTTACTGAGCGAAAACAGTGCGTTGCAGTAAACGGTAAAAAAATCTACATATGTGAACGTCACTTCGGGGGTCCCGCAGGGTTCCGTTCTAGGTCCCCTTTTATTTTTCATTTTCATTAATGACATTACCATGGACATAGAGCCAAGTATTCGTCTTTATGCCGACGACTGCGTGATATATCGATCTGTTCAGAATTCTGTTGATGGCACTGCTTTGCAAAAGGATATAGACTGCACTGCAGACTGATCAAAAAGTTGGCATATGAATCTACACATTGATAAATGCCAACATGTGGGCTTCAAAAAAAAAAAAAAAAAAAAAAAAAAATTTTGTTTATACAGCCTAAATGACACTACACTGACCGTAACTCTAGAAGTAAAATATCTTGGGATAACTTTTAGAGAACGCTTATCTTGGCAGTCTCATGTTACCAAAATAACTGCTAAAGCGACTAATAGGTTGTATTTTTTGGACGCAACTTTAGAAACTGTCCTTCCAAAGTTAAGGAGACATTGTATTCGACAAATATAAGGCCCGATCTTGAGTATGTTTGTTTACTCAAAACTTCCAGATACGGTATCTTTGTGATGGCCTTGAAAGGGTTCAAAACGTAGCAGCGAGATTCGTGATCGGAAATTATGATTTTAATGTAAGGTCGAGTCTCCTAAAATACTGTCTTGGTTGGCAGCCGCTAAAATGCCGAAGATTTGCGTTAGGTTTAAAACTCTTTTATAGCATTTTTTTACCAAAACGGGCATAAACGGGGGATCGTTTCTTCAGCTACCTCACTTCATATCACGCAGGGTAGATCATCAGAAAACGGATCGCGAATATTCGTGCCGCACTAATATCCTTAAACACTCTTTTTTTTCTTACGATTCATCAATGGAACTGTCTCCCGGAGTCGCTTGTCATGAAATTATCCAGCAATGTCTTTTTTTTTCAGACTTATTGAAGAGTGCTTGTACATTATGTCCTGATTGTGTTAAATGTGTTAAAGTTTGTATATAGCTTACTATTCTTATTGTTCTTGCCGCTTGCAAACTTTACGTCACATACCTAGAGTTCCGTAATGGTTTTCCTCTCTCTGTATGTAGCCCCCCCCCCCCTTTTTTTCTGTAATGCCTTTGAGCGCTGAAAGGAATATTGAATAAATATTTAAATAAATAAAGCGTGAGTTTCAGCGCGACATTGAACCACTTAATTAAAGGAGGGTTCATTTTCTAGCGTCTTTTTAAATGCGCCGCAGTCACCGGTAATTTAGCGCGTAACTGAGGACGCATAAGACAAAAGCCAAGCTTCGAACGGAATTTCTTCAAAATAATCTGCTCGGGGGCAAAATGCGCGCAGCACTGTCAAAGCCTCTCGACCGCTTCACAAATTAAGGGGAGAGAAGTCGCCGTAAAGAGGCGAATAAATATTTCTCCGGGAAAACCCTTCCTCGATTTATCGCTAAACTCTGGTTCAGACACTTGCGTTTGGTTTCAAGAGAGCGCAGCCTCGTGCTGCCTCGTAAATAGGATGCCGTGTTTTCGGAGTTTATTTTTCGTCAAGTACGGAGGGTGTTTTTCGGAGTTTATTTTTTCCCAAAAACTCGGAGTTTATAGGAGTTTATTTTTGTTTGATTCCAAAATCTTCAAAATTCGGAGCTTAATTTCGCAGCGTTTCTTATGGAAAACAAAACAATATTACCCGGGTGTATACCTATGCTAGATAAGGAAAAATAAAACGCGCTTATATCAAATAATATTTCTTCAGCTGCGTTTGGTGTTGGTGCCGTTGCCATTGGCAATACTAGTTTGTCCCACGGCAAAAGTTGCACACATACGTGGCTTGGATAAACGCCGACACCTTAAAACTAAACTCGTGGAGGTAGTCGCTGGGAAGCAGGTATTTATCCAATCATATTCCATGCTACCCCGCGGTTGCGCTAGGGGGTGTGGTAAAGGATGTAATAGGGAAGTTTCAACTGCCCCTCTTCCCATTTTATGCAATCCCTAGGATCCATATATAGCTTTAGCTGTTACAAAAACACAACCTCTCTTCCTCTTAAAACAGAAATAGTATGTCCCAAACTGAAAACCAACACAGGGGCTTTTGTCGTGACCCGAATGCACAATGACATGTCGTTCTGAACCTTGACAAGATGATCGGTAAAGACCCCTTTTTGTCAATGAACCGAGATTTGAAAGATAACTGGTGGCATTTTTCCGGGACCATTGACCCTTTGCGCTAATCAACCTAATTATAAGATACCATCTTTATTTAGTTTATTGGAAGGGGGAGCGGGGGGCATTGGCATATCAAAATTTGGAGTTTATCGGATAAATCCGAATTGATTAAAATTTTATCGGCGGGTGTTTTTCGAAGATTTGGGGATTGGGGATTTATCCGAAAACACGGAGCCCTACTCATAAATGACCAGAAAGAATAGTATAATTTCTTCACAACTGAGGACAAAACGTAACTGTTAAATAAATGCTCTCGAAGCTCGCAGCAGCACGGAACAAAAGTGCACTATGCGCGTTTTTCTAGACTACCCGCCCGTCCTGCAAGTCCGCCTTCCAGTGACGTTCCGAATTTAGAGATCCCAAACAAAGTGCGGAAAAGAGTAAAGGTAAAAAAAAAAGAATAGCCAGTCTGGGTGGTGAAAACAAAACTGATCTCCATGCGAGGGATAAAGTCTGTGTACGCAGAACGTGTGTCCGCGGGAATCTTTCGGGGTAACCGAAAACTTTTAAGTTTTTTTTTTTTTTTCATTATTTTAGTTATACAGACAAAAACAGAGAGATCAGAGATGAGAGCACGCTGGGATATCTGAGCGCTGAATCCTGCTAGATCGCCGCCTTCGTCTCTGCTCCCCCTTCGAACACGTTCACACGCCGAACGGCGGCGTTTGTGTTCTCCACTGCCCCTCTGTGACCGGCGCTCTACCATTACCCGTTTGGCGGTTCCTGTTGTTGTACTTTCGGAGTTTGGTTTTCTTCTCAACTATTTACCGCGCCTTCTCAATAATACTGCCGGGAGCGTCTCTGACCAGACTCACCCGTGGCCGAATGATTATCGTCCTTGGCTCCTACGCAAAGGGCTCGAGGTTCGATGCCTCGGAGCGGACGCGCCTTTTTGTTGTTACTGTAATGGTCGCGTTCTAGAAAATTTGATAACAGCGCTGAGTATTCGAGTTCCGAATGTTACACGCGCAGAACTTTCTACGCCGACTGTTTCGGATGCCCACGCGTGTACATAAGGGGCTCCGCGTGGAGAGGCGCAGTCAGGGCTTCGCCAGCGCTGAATCCTGATGCTACGGGGAGTTCATTACTCCTGCGACGTCAGCCTTGTCCGACTTTCGTTATGGGCACAAGCTCGCCCCCCTTAGAAGTTCATTTCTATCTGTTTGTTTCACCACTCGTGACATCCTGGTGGAGGTGGGGGGTGCGCACTCTATGTTTCTTTACCGTACCCCTACGACGAACCGTTCGGCAAGCCCCACTCCAAGTCGAACTTTTGTAGAAGAGACAGGGCCCCGGGCACGACAGCGTCTCCGACGGCAACGCCTTGAGTTTCGGCCACTGCAGGAAAAGACAAAGAAGCTGTCGAAGCCGACGATCAGCTCCACGGCCCAGCAGACGGAAAACCCTCGAGCAGTGTCGTCCCACGTGTTCTTGCCTGTGTTTCCCCGTGTGCTGATGCCATTTTGAGGTGAAATATACGAGGACGTAGAGGACTGTCTGCAGCAGTACGACCAGGTGGCCCGCCACAACGAATGGACTGATGAGCGACGCCTCCAGAACATCTACTTCTCGCTGGAACGAACAGCGATGCAATGGTACGAAAATCACGAAGTCGCCTTGACCACGTGGGAAGTTTCTAAGAGCCACCCGACGGGAGCGGGCAAAAGAACTGCTTCAAGAGAGGAACCAGGCACCCAAGGACAGCGTCACCAGCTTCGCTAATGACGTCCTCCACCTGTTCGCCCGCGCCGAACGGTAAGCCACAGGTGAAAATGAGCTGCGGGTACTCATGCGAGGTGACAGGGACGAGATTTTCGGCTGCCTTGCCCGCAGTCCTCCGACGACAGTGGAAAGCTTCGTCTCAGAGGAAACAAACCTGTAAAGTGTGCTCTTCGCGAGGGCGAACTATTACCAGCGGTTCACCGGCACTACCGGGATTGCACCGTCGAATTGCAGGATCGATTCCGGCATCTCTGACCTCTCTGCGATCCGTGAGATCGTCAAAAACATTGTCCGCAAGGAGCTTAGCAAACTGGTGCCGGCAGTAGAATGACCAGCTACGCTCTGTGTCACTCAGCTCGTCCAAGAAATGCAGCGACCCTTTCAAACGGAGGCTCCTGTTGACATCGCTGAACCCGAAGAACCGGTGGTAACCTACGCTTCAATGACTCGACGGCCGCCAATGGCTACCCGCCAATACTCGTCGCCACTTCGTCGAGGGCTCCAAACACCGCCGTATAGCCGACGCCAGGAAGACGGGGTTCCGAACAGCCGCCCCCAAAAGCAGTGCCAAGAAAGAGCGACGTCTGGCGCACAACTGACCGACGACCTTTGTGCTACCACTGCGGCGAGGTTGCCCACGTCTACCGGAGGTGCCCATACCACACAAATGGGCCTAGGAGAGTTAGCGCCAAACGACGCCCGGCCAAGGTACTGTAAACGCCCTCGCGACATCGAGGAATACCTCCGTCGAGCTCCGTCACCAGTACCGAGACCACCACGAGTTTCCCGTTGTTCATCCCCCTCGTTCCGCATCGCCTTTCCGTCGGTCGCGCATTGACAGCCTGTCTCCTCTATCTCGTCGGGGAAACTGAGTTTGGCGACGCCTGGAGGTGGCGCTGCCGAAGACGACCGAAATAAAGAACCCCCAAGAACGCCGGAACGCTCCCACCCTCCCGACGCCACGCATCGCAGCGACACTCTTGCAATGGTGCCCAACAACCTAAACTTTGTTATCGACGGCCACGACGCGTCGGCACCCGTGGATACTGGAGCAGATTACTCAGTCTTAAGTAAAGACTCTCTCGCTGCCTGCGGAGAGTGACGACGACTTGGGATGGACGTCAATTACGAAACTCCGGAGGGCGGCTCATTACACCAGTCAGGAGATGCATTACTCGCGTCAAAATCCACAGTGAGACGCACCTGTGAATTTCGTCGTTCTTCAAGACTATGCGAGGGACGTTAACCTCGGAATGGACTTCCTCTGCGAATATGGGGCTCTCGTCAATCTAGGAGAAACCATTCGACGCTGCGAAAGCCTGTTTTGCCGCCGGTGGTGACCAACACAACGTCAACCATGATCCGAGGAATTGCCGACCATGTCAACCTGCCACCGCGTACGAGTGTTTTTGTAACCGTAATAACCGACGCAGCCATGCGCGGTGAAGCTCTTCTGGAAGGCAGAGTCCAACTGCTCATTGAAAAAGGAATTGAAGTCGCACGAGGCGTAACGGATCTCCAAGGAGGACGAATAACTTTTCTCGTGGCGAACGTTTGAGAGGAGCCGCAGCCAGTGGCGTCACAAGGTGGCGGGTGGGGGGGGGGGGGGGGGGGATGGGGGGTGGACCGCCCCGGGTGCAGCGCTCAGGGGGGTGCCGTGGCGGGCCACGAGAGCGGGGGGTGGGGGCGCGGCGGGCCACGAGAGCGGGAAATGGGGGCGCGGTGGGCCTCGAGAGCGAGATGAGGGGAGGCTTGTCGCGGCGGGCTACCGTCCCAGGGGCCGCTGACCTCAGTGACGCCATTGGCCGCGGCACCTAACGAAGGGTACTACCGTGGACCACGTCGAGGGCCTTCAGGTGCCAGCCGTGGTCACCTCAATCTCAGAGAAAATCTCGTCGTCACAACACAAGAGCCCGTCGCCGCCGCATCTCGACATCGAACGCCGAGCACCGAGCTCCAAAGCGTCGGCAACTGGTTGATCTCCTCGCTGAATACAGCCACTATTTTACCACGTCGTTAAAAGTTCGCCAAACACCAGTGGCGAAACATCGCATTTTTACCGACGACGACGTGTACCCAGAGAGGATTCTAAACTGCGAGGTCTCATCGAGAACCTAGAACGACAAGAAAGTGCTGTTCCCCGCGTTTTCATACGAACACTTCCAACATTCTCCATCCGAGAAGGTGCGCTCTACAAGGAGAGCTTCAGTGAAAACAACACGCAGTAGCTGTTTATTCTAGAATAAATGCTTAAAGCCTGCCACGATGATCCTACGGTGGGACACCTTGGCTACTGCAGGACTCTGTCAGGATACGCCAGCAGTACCACTTGCCCAGGCCTCCGAAGACATGCTATCACTACACCCGATCTTGCAACTAGTGTCAACGACGGACGAGACCCCCGACGAGACCGGTAGGACTGCTTCAGCCTATTGCGCCACCATCTGCCACAGCACAGCAGATCGGAATGAATTTACTTGGACCATTGCCACCATCGACGCAAGGAAAACATGGATAATCATGGCGACCGATTATCTCACACGGTACGCCGAGGCGAAGCTCCTTCCATCAGGTACGGCTGTTGAAGTCGCCAAGTTTTTCATCGAGTCCATCGTCCTCTGGCACTGCGCCCCTGAAGTCCTTATTAGAGACCGTGGATCATCATTCATGGCCCAGCTGACGCAAGAGGTCATTCGTCCCAGTCCACCGTCAAACAACTGAGTACCACACGCACAGAAATTAACCAAGTCAACGGCTAAACAAAAACTACTCCGCGTTCCGCGAAAGAGGGAAGGCCCACCTGCCCCCCGGGGAGCGGTGGAGCCTCTGGCCGCGGCCCCTCTGCCGATCTCCTTGAGTTGACCGATGCTGAGCTGCCGAATCTCCTGCATGGACAGGTTGAGGTCGTAGTCCCTCTCGATGGTCTGCATCACCTCGACGCCCATCAGGGAGTCCATGCCCAGCTCCCCCAAGGTCAGGGAGGGGTTCAGGCTCGAGGGGTCTTTTACACCTGCAGCCAGGGAGCGCCACCTCAGGTCGCCGCCATGACAAGCCCGCGAGTCACCCCACAGAACTCGTTCCAAGAGCCCCACTACGCGGCCTAGAGCAACGCTTGGCTGGTTCGCGCACTTCGAATTGCTTACGAGGGAGTGGAGAGCTTCACATTTTCGTAAATTTCCTTCCTTTTCACGCATCGTTCTTTCTTTATTGGCTCAATAAATTTTCGATAATGTTATAACCTAGCAGTTCTCATGGTTAGTATGTACTATCCATCGCAAATATCGGGAAACCTCCATTCTAGTGAAATGCAGCTCCAGGATCCCCTCATTGACGGCACCTGTGCGGCAGCGCACTCTCTCTTAAGATAACGCGGTCGGTCGTAATGCAGTCGGCCTTAAGGAAGCCCTGCAATGATGTTCGCTTGGAATGTGTTTCGTTTTACACAAGCATACTTGCACTAAAAATACTCAAGTATATGAGCGCACACAACACCGTTGACCAAGAAACCTTTTGTTGCGGTGTAATTTCACGAATAAAAAATTAAAGTCGTTTAAAAATCTGTAATCCGAAATATAGTGCAGCTCGAGGTATTTTGCATTTGGCGAGATACTGTGTTAAACAATTTCAGAAAGAAATATACATATATGTACAAATATAGATCACTCTCCTCACATAGTGGTTCTGCACCCTATTCCTCTTCCGGGCCCTCTTCCTCCTTGGGATCCTCCTCCCCATATTCCCCTCTTCCTCTTCCGTATTGTCCCGTCCTCCTTCATACCCTCTCCTCCCCCCACGTACCCTCCCCTCCTCCTCCCTACCCTACCCTCCTCCCACAGCTTCCCCGCTAACTTCAGCTGGAAAATTGACGCCACGTGACCTCACCAATTTAATTTCCCCGCTAAGTTTAGCGTGGATAAAGGCGTCACACGACATCGTGTCACGTCACCTATGAATAAATTCAGTTTCTCCGCTAGATTAGGCGAGAGGATTGACGTCACGTGACCTTAACGCCATTTCAATTCCACGCTGAATTTAGCGGGGAAACTGAATTGGCGTGTAGGTCTGTGACATTTCATAATGCAACACTGCGCATTCAGTTTCCCCGCTAAATTTAAAGGCAAAACTGTAGCCACATGACCTCAACACAAATTCAGTTTCCCGCTAAATTTAGCCGAGTCTGTGACATCCAATAACGCAACATGCGCGGTTACGCCGACGCCAACGGCGACGCCGACGCCGACGCCGCTCAATGCGGAAATGGGTGCTCAAGAGCTGCGCTCTAAAACGAGCGTTTTCTTTCAATCTCTTCGCAAAACTTCACGACGTAGTTTAGAGGTCGCAGTATTGTCATAGTCCTTCAGTGGCAAAATTTGAATGCGGCTCGTACTTTGGAACTGATCATTGCACGAGCACTCAATTTGGGCTGTCGATAATCAATAACTCGACGAGCTTCCGCTCGTGTCCAATCGCTGCAATGACGACAATAGCCGAAGCCCTAACACCGTATGGCTATAAGAAACATTGGCGGCATATAATCGGCTCCAGATCACATGGCTGCTTGTTCTGGCTGCGAGTTGAGAGAAAAAATGCTGTTCGTGTTTCTTATAACTGTTTAGGGCGCTGCGCTTAGGCGCCCGTTTCCGTGTTTCGCGGCGTCGGCGTCGCCGTCGGCGTAACCGCGCTCACTTTAGTGGGAAAACTGACGCCACGTGAACTCAACACCAATTCAGTTCCCAGCTAAATTTAGCGGGGAATCGAATTGCTGTTGAGGTCACGTGACGTCGATTTGCGAGCTAAATCTAGCGGCGAAACTGAATTTGTTCCTAGGTGACGTGATACCAAGTCATGTGACGTATTTTTTCCACTAAATACAGCGGGAAACTGAAGTGGTGTTGAGGTCAGGTGGCCTCCATAGGGAGTTGTAGTAGATCGTTTTTCTCCTCCGCTACGGTATCCATAAAGAAAACGCCGCAGCTGCGCATGCGCGCCGCCAGCCTTGTCTGCATAGTTCATGGTCTTGTGGCGGATTACGGAGCGCTACCCGGGTGCTTAAGGGGCTGCGGCGGCGGTCTACTAAAACTCCCTAATATTTTAGCTAAATTTAGCGGGGAAACTGTGGGAGGAGGGGAGGGTATTGAGGGGAACGAGGGTACAAAGGAGGAGGATGGGAGAGTACGCAGGAGGAGGGGAAGGCATGGGGGAGGTGGACGAGAAGGAGGGAAGGTACAAAGGACTAGGAGAAAAGGAGGAGGAGAAGGAGGAGAAGAGAAGGAGGCTAGAAAAGGAGGAAGATTAGGGAAGGAGGAGAAGGAGGGAAGATAAAGACGAGGGAAGGCGGAGGTGAAGGAAGGAAAGGAAGGTGGAGAGGAGATAAGGAGGAGGGGAGGAGGAGAGGGTATGGCGGAAGAGGAAGGGACCATAACCTCTCCTCCTTCTTCCCAAAAGAACAGCTCTCGAGAAGGAGGAGGGGAGGGTACGGAGCAGCAACAACATCTACGGCGGAAGCAGCCGTAGATGTAGAAGCTGCTGCCGATATGGAGGCCGTAGATGTAGACGCGGTCGCCTCACAGTCCTTCGCACGAAACCCAACCATGAGCACAGATCAAGTCCGAGGCGCAACTGACACGCCCGAGGGAGCGCTCCACGTCTTCCTTCTGCACACGGCGCTCCGGCGGTGACATCACGCACCCTCACTGCGCAGGCGCGGCGCCCCCGCCGGCTCCACGGCTTCCGCGACAAAGCACCTGCGTTGCTCTGCATTTTTTAGAGCGCAGCTCTTAGGCGCCCGTTTGCGGCTTGAGCGGCGTCGGCGTCGGCGTAGCTGCCGCAGTCGGCGTAACCGTGCGGCGCATTATGGGAAACGTCCCATAATGCACCGCTGTGACACGCGCGTTGTATTATGGGACATTTCCCATAATGCACCGCACGGGAGGAATAAGGAGGGAGCAGGGGAGGAGGAGGGGAGGAGGAGGGCGAGGGAGGAGGTGGAAGAGGGGAAGGGGGCGAGGAGCACGGGAGGAGTAGGTACGGATGAGGAGGAGGGGCATGCCGTCTCCTCCGTCCCCTCCTCTCCTCCCCCTCAAGAGCTGCGCTCTAATTCGGCATTACAGGGAGTTATCTTTCATTTTTTTGTATGTTTTATTTCTGAGGCGCGTCCGCTTTGACCTTGAGTGGCGCGTGCTTGATGACTTATTTTTATGGTCATCTTTCGGGCACAACGCCGACGCCGCCTTTTACCGTAATGGGACATATAAGGCTTTCCCATATTAAAAGCGCACGCGTGTTTCATATGTTACAACCGCAAGGTAGTAATTCTAAATGACGTTTTTCTAGAGTACAAACATTGTTGCACCGCTCCTTTATGTAAGCGCAACCATGTGAGCGAGCCTCGGCACCTCCTACGATGATCACGAGGGGGAGGCTTTACCGAAAATGTGCGCTACGGTCTGGACGAGGTCGTGCTTGTCCTTGGTCTTCGCCCCGGAAAAGAGGTCGGCCTTGACCAGGCTCGAGACCACAGGGTGGCCCTGGCGCAGGAAGCGGTCCAGCACCGTCAGGCACGAGCCGATGCGCTGGGGCACCGTGCCGCCCACCACCACGTCCGCCCCCATAGTCTCCCGCAGGACGCCCACGTCGCCGATGGCGCCCCACTGGATGGCCAGGCCTGTGGGGACGAGAGAGGTCAACGGGGGCTGTCCGGCCTCGCATCCAGTTTTCGCGAGTTTCACCTCCAACTCACTAGATTGCTCCACTGTATCGGCAGAGATTTCCGGCTTCGCGCATCTTGCGCTTCAGGTCTGTACAAGAATCGTTCAAGGTTTGCCGGGACCAAGGGGCCAGATATAGAGGTGTCGGTATCGCGCGTGTGGACGCCACACGTGATAAATTTAGGGCAAGTGTGCACTATAATTGAGTACATTATTCTAAAATTCACTGTTGACCCTAGTTTTGTGCCTCGATAGACGGCAGCAAGAGCAACGAATTGAAGTGCAGTGACTTTTGACGCAGCGCTCGAGCCAGGGTTCTTTGAGATCGGAACAGATGCACCAAGCAGAAAGTACTTGCACCCGGGTGCCATGGCAACAAAACACTTTTTTTTTATTCAGTTGCGCCGTTAGGCCAACATTGACGATCTTGGTATTAGCTATTCGGGCACATGGCAACACGACTCTATGCAGTCGATCACGTCGAAGCATTCGCCGGGCAGTGTGTCCTCACGCAGCCCGGCGGAAGTAGTAGTTTACACCGTGGCTGGGACTTTTGTTAGTGAGATATCTCTGAACAAGTGTAGCACGATGAAATTTACAAAGGACATTAACATAATTCTTCGTGCCAAAAAAGACATCTTTGGTGCGATTCTGGCAGTTCCGGCCATCGTGAAGAGCGACGTGTCCACCATTGGGGCAGCAGTGCACAATAAAATGTTTAAAGGAAACGGTCAAACTAGCTTCGATTTTGAGAAGATTGCAAGCACAACATGGTATCTTCGATAGATGTACATAAGAGTATCTTACACCATGTCCCAGAGACTATTGGTCCCTAGGAACTCTGGGGCTCCACAGAGAGATTTTAACTGAAACCCCTAATTGAATGTTCGCACAACCCTAGTTCCCCAAACAAATTCCCTGACCGCTCCTGCCTCTAAGCCACAGTTTAGCAGAAATGTAAGCGCCACTTCGGAAAATTTTAGCCATCCAATGACGCACACTCATGAACCAGACATTCTCTAGTGTGTACATATTACTGTTTACGTTATTATTTGTGGGCTTCTCAACCGCTTTATCGCATCACCGCCTAGTTTAGGAGGAGTTACTCAGCTGTCATATTCAAGTACCGTTGTGCGAATGTTCAAATTTCCTAATAGTAGTCTCGAATGACAGACCATTCGATATTCGCCTCGAGGTGAACTGCGATATTTATACTTTTTGAAGCGTTTATCGCGGCGGGTTAGCCCCGTTGAGTGCACTTCTGAACGAGTACCTGTGCTCCGCGGCGAAGCAATACCAGCGGAGTCGCCGCAATCAATATTTCGGTAAGTATGAATATTGCGGTTCACCTCGAGGCGAATCAGAAACCAGTTTTAAATGAAACCACTAATTGAATATTCGCACAACCCTAGTTCCTCAGGATCGCAGAGTCCGAGACGCCTTCACCCAGAGCAAGAGACACCCACCGGGCAGTCCGTTGGCCACCCTCCTCTCGCAGACGCGCTCCATGACCGAGTTGGCGTAGCCGTAGTTGGTCTGTCCCTTGTTGCCCCGGCCGCACGACACCGACGAAAAGGCTACGAAGTGGTCCAGCTGGGGACACAGCTCCCGGGACGCCGCATCCAGGTGCAGGGTGCCGGCCACCTTGGGGCGGCACACCGCCTCGAACGCCTCTGCAGTCTGGTTCTCCAGCAGGGCGTCCCTCAGCACCTGCGCTTCACACACACACACACTCGGGAAAGGCTCACGCGTCCGCGTTTCCCTGCGACAATAGTAACTGTAAATGCCCCGCTTGCAGAGCAGAGTGTCGCGACAAACTCAAAGTGTTTACTGCAAGTATTGCGGGAGAAGAGATCGTCGCCCTTGCAGGAGACGCAGCGGGTTAAATGACATGAGGCGGCGATTAACCGCGCATGCGCTGTCGTGTCTCTCCCAAGTTGTCGTCGGCCGTCCCTCGGAGTCGACCGTTCGCCTCTAGGTCTCCAGATGGTAACTTCTTTTACGAAAGAACGACATACACCAGTTTCTTAGGAAGAAATTGCAATTATTAGGTCAACAGGATAAATCTGGTCAATGCTTTACCCGCGAGGTCACATATATGTCGAGTAAGCCTGTGCGCATGCATACGCCTGCATCCCTGGCCTTTCCTTCCTTCTGCCGCCACTTATACGGGGCGCTGTATAGTACTACCAACATTGCCAGCATCTATTTACGCAAATTTCGTCCTTTTTGGCGATTCCCTTCCGAGCATAAGTAGCAAGGGGCATAAAAAGGCGACAGAAAGTGATACAATGGTACGATGCCAATGCACTCTTAAGAAAAGGGTCTCCATAGTGCTCCGTAAAGGGAGGAACGCTCTTGTAATTAACCTATGATCTTTTAGAAAAAGAGAAATTTTTGTCCGGAAAGCAGGGGAGCAATGTTTCTCCGTCAGCTGCATCGCATTATGTCGGACCCGAATCGAGCAAATTGAGCTCAATAAGGCTTAACGAGGACGCTACGTCTATTTTACGAGGCGACAGGAGCAGAAAATAAAAAGCATAACGTTCCGCGAACTGTATTTATTTGCGAAGCCAGCATCCTCCTTCAGGTAAAGAAACTTGGCGTTTCGAGAGCAGTCACTCAGTCTTCTCGTCGTCAGCAGATGTTGAACGGAGGCAGCCACTGATCTCTACGGCAGTTGCTGGATCGCGCATTCCCACTTGGTCACTGCAGTGCGAGTGAAGCCCCCGGATGGCCATCTTGCTCATAGACAAATTGCGGTTTTGCAAGCGTTGCAGAAGCTGGCTGACGCACGAGTAGAAAACGTGCTGAAGACACGTTTTCTACTCGTGCGTCGTCACTCTTGCCGTTGACAACACATAAACTTGCCGTTGAGAACACGTGAGACTTGCCGTTGAGAACACGTGGAAAGTTTTACGAAAGCACATGCTGCAGGGGAAAGGCACAACTCGCCGAAAGCAAGTTTCGCCGGTCTCGTGGCGTCATCAAAGCTTCCTTGGCAAGCAGAAGTGCTGCGTCTCTGTGCCTTCGCACGCTTTGATACCAATCAAGAATCGACGCCGTGTGGATGCGTTTTGCAAGTGAAATTTGCGTGAGGCCGTCTATGCCTCTGGAGCAACTTTTTACTTTACTCTGACGACAGTATTTGTAACTTGCGGCTCTCGCAGTCCAGAAATGAGCTTGACCCAGTGTCCAGTGGCGACGGAAGGATGGGGGGGGGGGGGGAGGGGGGGGGACGTAGGTGTTTTTTTAAGTCGTTAGACGGTTTACAAAATACTGCGCACACAGCTCATCACTGATCAGTGGTCTGGCTCATTATCAACAACTGCACGTGACATCAAGTTTGAGCGCGGCTCGCCTAATTGTGATCGGTCAACCGATTGCACATGGCCATATGGGCCGCACCTCAAAGATTTTCAATCTCGCCGTGTTCTACTTTTGCCTTCGAAAACCATGCTTGCTCCACAGCGTTGCTCTATTTGTGCTGCCATGTGATCCATTAGAGTATATTTGTAACATAGCCATGGTTAATAATAATAATAATAATAATATTTATTTGCATACAAAAAATCTGATCCTGAGTGGCGTGCACGGCTGTGCAGAAAGGTTAAAACCCGTACGCGAGTGCGCCTGCCAGCCCGCCACAGTGCATAAGAGGAACCGTACATGTTGTTTTCCCCCCTTTATGGATTACAAATCGCCTGAACAGCGGGTTGATTCAAAACTCCGCGGCCGATATAGGATGCAAAGACATCTACGCGCGACATACCTTCAAAACTTTTCCGCGGCGCCGATTCTTGATCGATATCCAGGCGTGCGAAGTCACAAAGACGCAGCACTTCGGCGTGCTAAGGGAGCTTTGATTAGGCGGCGAATACGGCGACACTTGCTTTCGACGAGTCGTGCCTTTACATACGGCTTCACGCACATTGCACTCACAAACAACATCTACACGGTGTCGGTTCTTGATCAGTATGCAAGCGTGTAAAGGCGCAGAAACGGCCCAAGCAGCACATAGTTGGCCAAGCATTGGCCAATGGCTGGCAATGGTCATTTGGCCAGTGGCCAGACAGTGGCCAGAGATTGGCGGATGACTGGTCTTTCTCTGGCCATTGGCCATTGGCCACTGGTCATCAACCAGCGGCCAAGCATGAGCCAACGAATGGTCACTCTTTGGCCACTGGCCACAAGACCATCCCCAGCCATTGGCCATGGCCTGGCCAAAATCCGTGCTGCTTGGGGGAGCATTTGGGCGTGCCAAGGGAGATCTGATCATGCCGCGAAACCGGCGAAACTTGCTTTCTATGAGTTATGCCTTTTTTCAGCGGTCCTGCGCTTTTGTAAATTTGTTTACGTGTTCTCAACGACAAGTCTCAGCGCTTACACAGGGTCTTAACAAACTACTTCGGCGAATCACGACGCACGAGTAGAAAATGTGTCTTCAGCACGCTGCCGCCAGCCTCTGCAACGCTAGCAAAACCGGAATTCGTCTACGAGCAAGATGGCCGTCCGGTGGCTTCCCTCGCGGATGCCGGAACCGCGATCCAGCAATTTTCATAAAGATCAGTGAAGGCAACCGATGCCCACTTACTTCGCACACTTTACGTCTTACCTTCGCTATTCCTCGAGCCACAATTCCTTCGTGAACCGCACATCCCGGAGATTCGCGAAACCAAAAGGCGCTCTTAAAGGGATACTGCAACGAAATTTCGGCGCTCATTATTTGGTCTATATGTGTTCAAAAGAGCAGCATCACATCGAACATATAATACCTTTTTAAAAAAAGTCACGAAAAGGAATTTTAAAATGAATTAAACGATTAGCAAAGAGCAACTGGTGGATGTCGCTAACGCCTCGCTTATAATACCCGTCTAAGAACCTTGACAGCTAGTGACGGAGGTTGTCTCGCCTCCGGCCACGACGAGAGAAGAGGGGCAGAAGGAACTCCTGTGTGCTTCTTCGTCTTTTTGTCCCGTCTCTTTTGCGCTATTTTTAATATGAATGTCCACTACCAACTTGCCCAGCAGACCAAGCTTTTATAAGGAACTCCCCTTTTCCCGAGAATGCCTTTTGTGTGTCGCAGAAGTCGCTATTGTCCCCCTACAAGATTATAGAAGATTAACCCGTCACTCAAAACTCGTACAAAAGCAGCCGCTTCGGTGGCTGGAACGACTAGGCCATCTTCTGAACGTCAGCCTCGCCGTAGCTTTGCTCGTCCTGAGACGACCTACGTCACGATTGCGTTCGATGTCACGTGGTCTCCGCTGGGCCTTCTTCGAGCGCTTGCCGGAGTGGGCCGTTTATAACTAAGAATACAGCCACCAGGCTCAAAATACAAACGTGCGATTGTCATTCACGGATATTGTGGATCATATTCAACCTATTTTTGAACACGACGGTAATATTTCAAATTTCGTTGAAGTATCCCTTTAACGAGCAAATTCGCAGCGGCCTATTTGGCTTTGTTGCACGAAATGAACGCGAAGCATGAAAAAAGGTTCAATCGCTTGCCACCAGATGGCAGGGTCAAGCAGAGTAATTGCAAGTGTCTAGGCAAGGGGGCGCTACATACCGCTCAAATCATGTTCTACAAAAAAAAAAAACGTTTATTTGCTCACGCCACCACTGCGCTTCAGGCCCTTCGGGCACCTTTTTATACACACATGCAGACACATTGCGGATAGTACAAGCATCAGCTAGACATATAAACGCTTTGCAGCAGCTGTGCATGGGCACCGCAATAATCAACCTTTAGTTTTTGTCTCCTCGAATTCCTTTTACTCGACTTCATCGTTACCATAGCTGGACAGGTTATTGTCGCTTTAGATTCCACTGGGTCCTTCTACCCAGCATTGGCTTTTGTGGAAGCTCGTAAAAGACAGTTTCAGTAGCCCGGTATTTCGGTAAGACACGGAAGGTCAGCAAAGGCGGCTGTAATTTGACGCGTGTGTATACCTTGTATGCATTGACCGCATACACATACACGGCGCATACGAACATCACACTTACCCGATCACTATTTGCGAGCTCTGTGTTTCAGCATTTTATTCTTGTCAAATTGAAGGTACGAATTTTCTCGGTGTCCACCTCAGCCATAAATAATATTCCCAGCATGTTGATTTTTTTCAGTAATGTCTGCCCTCTGAGAGTATCTTGAACAGCTCAGAAGATAAACCTCTCAGTAGAAAGTAAACGCTGATGCCGTAAATATTTGAAAACCAATAAAACAAGCCGCTCCACTGCGGTACGTTCCAAGCAATGTGTTTTCTTCCCCGCACGGCACGTCGTAGCCAGTTTTTTGTTGTTGTAGTATTTTTTTTTCTGTTTGTGCTGTTAACATGCGGCTGCCATTGTCGTCTTGAATTAATCTTTGTAGAGGGAGTGTTCACTGAACTGGAAGCGATGCTTCACGGGCAAATAAATCACTTTTTGATCAACTTGAATGCAGTCAGAGCCGTGACTTGCGGCAGGTGTTAAGTATACGGAACTATGCCGTGGTAAGTTCGAAAACTTCTTGCGCTCCTTCCGGCGCGCCACTTTTAGGGCAGTTTCTTCAGGAGTCTTAGTATGTTTAAACAATAAAATAAAGGTTAACTTTTTGTCAATTTTACCTATCATCCTCCCTTAATGCTAAAATTCCAAACTCTAAATATACGTAATTTCCGTTATATTTTCATAGGGTGCAGTCCTTTCCTCAGAGCGCATAAGCTCTCGGGGTAGGGACAACAGGCAGACGACAGTCATTTTGGCGGCTGTACGATAGGAGCTACGGCTCAGCCCAGCGTTCCAACATAACTATCCGCAGATCGTTCGATTGCACCGTAATTCCTCAAGCGGTCCTAAACTCTTTAATGTGAAGCGGAATGTCAACATGCGACACCCCGCCGGGACAGATCGTGATAGATGGGGATAGATCCGGTGCAGATCCTGAAGTGTATCCGGAACAATTGGCTCAACCAACAAGATGACAAAGTTTGTTTCCACTACCCAGAGTTTGAGGTTGAGCCGACACGGCAGCGGCGCATGCAGTGTGCATCTCTTAAAACAATCAGAGATGGTCACAACTTGGAATGCGAGCAAGTGAGCAAGTGTGTTTGGCTACACTCTGTCAAGGAAGGCTCTGACGAATTGAGGAGCTTGCTCTATAGATCTTCCACGAGTCCTTGCCCGATGCCCTTCGCGCCCTTAAATCGAACACAAGTCTTTGATACTGTGAGGAAACGGCGAGCTTCATCGAAATCATATTGAAATGGTGGAAGATTACGAATGTCAAGACACCATGCAAAGGAATGGCTAAAAGGGATGAGTTTCAAAAACCCCTCCTTCCTTCGATGGATGATCCCAATGTGGATTTTCTGTGCAACCTTCTTGACTGGCTTAAGGAGTGGAAGAGTAGGGATTTTACCGGAGTCAAGCTAACCCCGGAGACCCATGCCGCTCTCCACCAGACGACTTATGCACCCTTGGAGGTAGCCAGGTATTGCTTCGAAGAACTGCAGCTCTCCTTCGTTCTCTTGGGGAAGACCCAGACGGACAGCTTGAAAGACCGCTTTGGAAAGTACAGACGGCTGGTTGGATCTCAATATCATGTGTCTATAAGGCAAGATTATGAAGCTGAGCATAAACAGCGGCTGCTAATCACTCTGCCAAAGATCGCCACAGTGTCTAGATGTGTCGGCGAAAGAGATGAGCAACGGGAAGATATCTTCAAACGCACGGTTGCCTCACGCCCCATTTGCGACATCGAAGTAACTGAGGGAGTGCTGTCACAGATAAACGACACCATCCCGGTCTCTGTCTACGTGGCAAGATATGCTATGTGTGCAACTTTGAAAGAGCTTAATTGTGAGAAATGGAGGGCTGCATTGACAATACACAAGAGAATCATGGTTTCAGTCATGCAGCAGCACTACGACCTTGTAAGATAACTTGACAGGGGAGGACTCATCCATCCGACAATGTTTGTTGTAAATGCCGTGGCAAACAACTATGTTGTTGTTGTCCAACTGTCGAAGCAGCCAGTTTTTGGAGATGCCGAACCAGCGGCAGGTGGCAACAGAGCTCACTGTTGAACTTCTAGCCAATAACGAATGCTCGGACTTTGACGCCTGTAAGAATGTACACACGGGCGAGCAGGTGCTTAAGCATATGTTATGGTGCAGCAAGAACATTCTGGTGAAGAATCTGTGCCGCAGGCTAAATGACGAATTATTTGATGCTGACGCAAAGGCAAAGAAAAAGAAAGCGGAAACTCTTAGAGCCAAATCAACAACCACTGGACATGCGCAAGCTCGCCACAAGTCTTTCGAATCAACTGCCACTCAGCGATAACTTTTCCGGCTTTTATACCTGTGAAAGCCTCTATCACATAACAGGCACCTCGGTGTTTTATTTCATTAGTGATATCTTGCTGATGATCAATTTTGATATGAACATTATAATTGTTTATCCTGAGAGTCACGCAACCAAAAAACTGAAGCCATTTATTGCACACAGCGAAGAGAGAGTATTGGTGCGCATCTAAATTATATGTGGTGCAGGTTTATGACACATTATTCTGTGTTATGTGTGCTGTTCCTCGACTATTCTGGTGGTGGTACGACATTGAGGTCTACATGCAGTATGAGTGGTGCATGTCACAATGTCGGGAGAGCTACAAAACGGCATGCGAAATGCGCAGGCGCGGCTGTATGAAAACCAATGGACAGCCAAGAAGTTTTCTTCCTCAACTCTCTCAGCTGAGAATTGCTGTATCTACAATTTCTTTTTGTAGTGCTGAATGCAGTCATGTGCATAAAGATCATCCAACTACTAACATTTAAACTGAAAACCTACTTATACGATTGTGATGCTGTCCATATTCCTTTTGTTGAAGTTTGTAGGCTTGTCAGATGACACTGGAGTACTATTCCTTGTAACTGAAGAGATTTATTTTCAGTTTTCATAGAACACTGTGATTTGCATAAGAAACTGGATTGGGGCTTTGTCATTTCTGCCAAGCACGAATATATTGATGTAATGCGCGACTAATATATTGAAGCAGCCACAAGCAATACACATGCTGCACCAAACTAGTTACAACTAAGTTCTTATGATAACATTACTGGCTTGTTAGACATCTTCCCAATTTGTCGGAAGCATGTGATGAAGCACACAAGTTTCCGTCTATTAAAGCTTTTGTTGCAGTGTAAGGTAGCCATTTCCTTAAAAAGCCTCTGACACACCAAAAGAATTTTTTTTCATGCTATGCGTTGATATGGCATGTCAGGACATTACAAAAAAAATTGTTTCACTATAGAGTTGCGTAGTTTTTTTATAAAAAAATACAAATACGAGGCCCAATTTAAAGTTCCCGCCAGTGCACTGTGACGTAACAGTGTACCGCAAGGTGTCGCGGCTGTCAGAAGGGAGGCATCGTCCTACGTCACTAAAGGTGGGTTCGCAGGGAGTGACGTGAGTTTCACTCCTCGTGCTCTCCGCGACCGTGCCTAAGACTTTTTTTTTTCTGCTCTTTGTACGAGCGAATGTGGGAAACGAAGTTTCAGTTCCACTAGCTCTTTATCGCTGCACCGTTGGTTAGTTTGCGTGCTGTAAAACTTGAGGACGAAGAGGCGGTGGATCGACGTGATCGAGGTCTATGATGAAAGCGTTCCGAGTACAAGCCAGTGTACGAGTGCATGCCGTCAGTCCGATGATACAGAGCTATACTGGGCACAAAAAAAGCTATCAAGTTCTGAAAAAAAAATTTAGAACGCTCGCAGAAATTAGGATTGCTAGCGTACGACACGCCCAATTGCATTGCTGAAGGTTCGGACACCGAGGTCGTCGAATCATCGTATACTCTCCAGGCTGAAGATGCCTGCCGTCTCTCGGAAATGCACGCAGTGTGATCTTTTCTTCAGTTCCTGAAATACCGGGACAGTCCCTCACACAGCACCTTCTAGGCATTGCAGTTGATCACGTCAATTCACTGACTCCTCTTCTTCTACCTTTACAGCAACTTTAAGCGTTGAAAAGCGAATAAAAGAAACCTTGTCTGCTTGGATCGCTCGTGGAAGTGCGGAGAATAACAAAAATGTTTAAAAAATATTACACGCGCTCGCGGTAAGCTCGAGGAGGGATACAACTCACATGACTTCCGGCGATGCCTCCCTTCTGACCGCCCCAACACCGTGCTGTACACTGTTACGTCACAGTGTACTGGCGGGAGCTTTGAATTGGGCCTCGTATTTCTATTTTTTATACAAAAAAATCCACGCACCTCTATAGTGAGACAATTTTTTTGTAATGTCCTGACATGCCATTTCAACGCCTACTATGCAAAAAAAAAATTTTTTTTCCTGGCGTGTCGCTTGCTGGGTTATAAATGATAAGATATTAGTTACATTCCAGCTGACAAGTTACACGCAGTCTTCCTCAGATAATGTTCACTACTTTTGTAAACATTTTATTGCCAATCCTTTGGTGCTGTACGTTTTGCACTTACGCATGAAAAAAAAGGAAAAAGAAACAGTTCGTGATCAGAGGAATTAGACCACTCCTCTTCAGTTATAACTTCTCACGCTTTAATTTCACGCAGGGATGTGGTTATATCGCGATCACTGCATCTAGTCATTTCATAAAAATTAGTTTTTATAAAATCTATCTTCAAAGAATAATTATACCACTCAGAATATTGCTGCTTACAAATGAACTCGGCATACCTTGTGACAATGTTAAACACGTACAGCATTCTTCCATTTAACGTCGAAAAAATTCGACGCCCCAATACTTTTCCCGAGTAATAAAATCAGCTTCCAAGCTTAGATTGTGAGCGCAGTGGCAATATAGCTTCTTAAAAACGCTTGTGCGACTAAAAAGCTCGGGGTACACCTAAGCACTTCTTATGAGTTGTGAATGCGAAAGCATGCAAGCCGCTGGTCCGCTCCCTTTGTCGTCTGCTCGTCCGCTCCCTTTGTCGTCTGCTGCGTACTATCGCGCGCGCGCGCTTCGGGATCTTGGAGGCCATGGCGCAGCGGCCAATGGGAGCCCCGTCGACGCGCTCCAGCCAATGAAACCGAAGGCGAATCGCTCCTATAAGGATCGCGGCGGAAACTAGGAGCCGTTTTCGCGCTTCAAACTGATGACGTCAGCTCGCTTCATGAGAGACTTAATTCTTTCGCACTAAAAAAGCGCAGCTGCGACGGTGGATCCACGTGCGTTACCTTCGCTCCGGCGTTTCGACGCGCGCCCGCAATGGCCTTCCTTTGTGACGTCCCGAGGAGAGCGCTACAGCCTTGCCTTCTAGGAGATGTTGCTCGCTCCCCCTTATTCTCATGTCCGCGTGGGGGCGCGTCACTAGAAGGGAGGAAAACGTGCCATTGCTACCTTATTCCTCCATTTTTTTTTCTTATAGTGTATGTTCTGATGGAGGGAATAACGCTGGGGCAAAGATGGGATGCTCTTCATTTGTAGTTCGCAGGCGACACCCCCGAAGGTACTCGCCACTTGGAAAAAGTCCCTCGATCGAAGAACCAGTTCTCGTCTGCCACTGACACGCGAAAGTGACTATGCCCGACAAAATACAGCTTCGCGTCTGCCTTCAGTTTGCCAAAAAGCGAACCTGCTTTTTGAGCCACCAGATGGCACCACATTTTAAAAAGAGTGCGACGCTTTCGCCGCAGCCGGGCGCCACCCACCAGGGCAAGGTTGAAGATGCCGGCCACGGGACCGAGGGCGGCTGCCTCCCGCAGCAGCGCCCTGGCGCCCTCCTCGGTGGCCACGTCCGCCCGGCTCACGGCCAACTTGGCGCCGGCCAGCCGCCAGCGGTGCAGACAGAGGCGCTGGTAGCCCGTGCGGACGCCCGAGCGGGCCGTGAGCAGGAGCCTGCGGCAGCCCCGGGCCACCATCCAGTCGGCCAGCTCCAGGCCGAAGCCGCCCAGGCCCCCGGCCACCACGTAGCTCTTGTCCTCGAAGAAGTAGGTGCGCGCGTGGGCCTCCACCGAGAGGGGCGTGGCCGCCATCGTTTGCCGCTGGGGCTCTTCGGGCCGCACCTGGGAGAGGACGCGTTCGGTCGTTAGGCCTTTCGGCAAAATTCACGCTTCCCGTTTGTTTCGAGTACCGAAAATAATTCTTTTCAAGTACCGAAAATCGCGAGGTCGTTCCGGGGCACGAAGAAAGTAGAGCATTATTATTATTGTTGCTCAAAACGCGCGGCACCAACGAATGCTCAGTCGCCATTCGCATCCAAGGGTGGCTCATTTCATAACTTCACCGCCATTTCCTTTTGCCGCACGAGCCACGGGCAGCGTGCACTTGCAGATTTGACGCTAAAAGAGCTTTTGACACATCGAGGAGCTTTACCTGGTTGCAGTCAGCAGTGACTTCGACCGTCCGTGGAACGTGGCAAAAACAAGTCGGGCAACTCAGGAAACGGCGGCGCTCCAGTGCGGATCAAAACGCGACACAATCGCCATCTTCCGAATTCACTCTATAGGCTGGTTCACACACTCGAGTTGAGTTGCAGCCGAGCACACTGTGCACTATTGTGCAGTCTAAACGTCGCTTCACACACTACTTACTAACGAGTGCATTATAACCTTCCGTGTTCTCTTATGACGAGAATAGAGCCTAGAAGTAGAGAGGATCCATCTCAAGCCACGGGGAGCGTTTGCAATTTAATGGCGAAGATTGATCGCAAGTGCGCATGCGCCGTGGTTCCGCGTGGCAAGGAGACAAGCGGGTGGAAAGGCAGAGACGCTCGCAGACGGCCGACTCTTCATTCACCTCCTCGTAGCTCATATTGCAAATAGAAACCACGTAACCCCGATCAAGCAATTGGAAACTCTCTGTAATGTAGGCTCTCTAACGACGAGAGAGCGCAGTGGTGCCATCTATTGGCTAGCCGTGGTGCACACGCGATTGCCATATATGTATTTCACCTTTTTTTTTGCCACTTCATTCTTTCGCTATACGGAGCGCAAGTTGGTCTGCATCTTTTGCGGGGGTTGTTGTGACTTCAGAATGCCGAGGGCTGATTGGCTCTGATCGAAGGAGCGTGGGCAGACCTCGAGGCAGCTAGCATTCAGGTCTACCCACTATACTCCCATTCGGAGCAAATCAGAGCTCGGCGTTCTGACGTCACTGCAATGCCTGCAATAAAAGCAGACGAACTTGCTCTCCGCATTGGTTGAAAGAGCGTTTGCAATGTTATAAATAGAAGTGTTGCAAACGTTTGTCGAACCTCGATTTTGACGTCGAACCTCTAGGTTCGACTGGCTCGCCGAACCTTTACCTTTCACTAAAGTTCGAAGAAATTCGACTTATGGATAGCGTTGCTCGACTTCTAGACGAATATTTTCTAATTTCGGGAAACAAACTATTTATAAAGTAGTTTATTTAAAATTTTATAAAATGGTTACCATTATTTACACCATATAAAAGCGAAAATATACGCTTTTCATGCTTCCATTAGTTAGTAATGTGATCCAGTGGTGCCAATACACCCAACAAATATTGCACATTTCCTCCGCTGTTTTTTCTTTTTTTCAATTTCACGCATGTGCACAAAAGTCGAACTTCAGTCGAACATTTGTCGAACATCACGTTGAAAGTTAAAAAAGTCGACCTTGGTCGACCTTGAAGCTGGACAGGTTCTCGAGATCCCTAGTTCTAAGCAACCATTTCACGTACATAGTATATGTACATTTGACCTCGCAAATTTGGCAAAACCTTCACTATAATGAAACGCAGTTCAACGGTTACCTCATAGATGGCGCCAGCGTGTCATCTCGTAAGGTATCGCGAGAGGTCATAATCAGGATTCCGTGTTTTCAGATAAATCCGAAAAAACCCAAAAAACACTTGCCGGTGAATTTTCCGTCAATTAGGATTGATCAGAAAAACTCCGAATTACGAGGTCACAGCGGCAAAATAAACGGCAAAAAAGACGGAGTTTTGGAACTAAACTTCATAAAAGCACAATGCCAGTGTTCCCGAGAGGATTCCACTTCAGTTTCCCTTGAAATCTAGAATTACTGACAAAAGGTGTTTGTCTTTTAGCACTTCGAGGCTCCTTTGAAACAACGCGTGATGGTACCCGGACCTTATTTATTTTGTTCTTGAATTTTTATGTTTCTTATTTTACGCAGTAAAATAAACTCCAAATTTCAAAGAATGGGTAATCTAACAAAAATAAACTCCGATAAACCCCGAATCCCCAGCAAAAAATAACCTCTGAAAAACACCTTCCGAAATTCACGAGAAATAATCACCCAAAACACGGAATCCTAGTCATAATGCACTCGGTCGCAAGTAGTCCCAACTGTAAATGCTTGCGACCGAGTGCAAAAAGACACTTGCTGCGGACGCAACAGAATTCTCTGCAGAGAGGCCTCAAGTATGTTGCAAGTATTTCTGTTTTATACGTGTGCTTGCAACGTGTCCGAATACAGTCCTCGTGCTACAAATGGGACGAAAGCGCCACGGCAACACTAGCCGGAACTATCTGGCGAGCGGCGTGGGGCACCCACCTCGAGCACCACCTTGCCCATGTGCTTGCCGGAGGCCATGAAGCGGAAGGCGTCCTCGACGCGGTCCCGGACAAAGCGGACGGCGTCCAAGGGCCGCACCGCGCCCGAGGCGATGCCCTCGCGCACCAGCTGGATCACCCGGCGCTTGTCCACCGCCACCCGGGGGTCGTCCCCGAACAGGGCGCCCAGCAGGATGCCGTGGAAGCTGACGTTCTTGAGGAACACCGCCATGCCCAGGGCGTTGTTCTGGAACAGGTCGGACTTGCCGATCTCCAGGAAGCGGCCGCGGGTGGCCAGGCAGCGCACGCTTGCCTGCAGCTTCTCCTCGGCCAGCGAGTTCAGCACCAGGTCCACCCCTGGGTGTGCACGAGTGTGCTCTTGGCCAACTCCCGCGAGCTCCCGGATCTAGCCTTTTTTCTCGCACCGTCTGTTCGTCCGGTATAACGCGGGAAAAGGGAGGGCCGTCGAGGCCTGGGGTCTAGGTGCGGGGCAAACGCAAAACGCCGACTCACCCCTGCCCTCGGTCTCGCGTAGGATGTGCTCTTCGAAGGACAGGTCCCGAGAGCTTGCAAAGTTGCGGTCCTGCAGTTGTGGAAAGCGCCGCTTCAGGAACTCCCGCTTCTCCTGGGAACCTGCGGGCAACGTCGAGCGGGCAGCGTGAGCACTATGGATGCCAGAGATCGGCAGTTCTGTTAACACCGCGGGTTTTGTTTTCCTACCCCCTCTAGCACTTGGGCATTAAATGGCTCGTAGTACTATATTTCTCGGATTATAGTCCGTGCAATACCTTAACGAAATAATTGAGTGTGCAGGTGAGCTGGTGATAATTAGTCCTAATGTAACACCTAAGTCTGGTACGGGAAAAGAAAGAAACTTTTAAGTCGAACAAAAAGACAACAATAACCAAATTACATTAATTTTTTTTTTTTTACGAGGAGGGCACATTTGGTTTTAGAGAGCAGCTCTTAAGCGCCCGTTTATGCGGCGTTGACGTCGCCTTCGGCTTAAATGGGCGGTGCATTATGGGTAAATTACCCTGCTAAATTCAGCGGCCATTGTGAATAGCCATTGTGAAAAAAGGTTGTACAGTTCAGTTGAATGGGTCCTGATGTAATAATAATAATAATAAAGAGTTTATTTCCATCGAACATTGATGGTGGCGCACGGCGACTCCACCAGGACTATGCGTCTAAACAACCCTTTCGCTCTTTTCGTCCAGGCAAGAGAAGAACGTTACGATCACAGCTCTAGTAGCAACGATCTTTGTCTGTTCAAGTTGCCGTGCCCTCGGCCATTGTGCGATGTTATTCGGCATTGTAGGAGTGTATTTAGTGTGCTTCTAATGTTGAGCGGTGACGTCGAGTCTAATCCTGGACCCGACATGGCTCAGCTTATGGAGCAGCTGCAGATAATCGCCGGAGATGTTAAAGATATCAAAGAAGGGAAGGCTGTGACGGACTCACTAATTGCAGAAACGAACGGAAGACTGACCACAATCGAACAAAGAGTGGACAGCCTGACCAAGCTGACAGCAACTGTGACGGCTTTGCAGGATAAGATCTTGTGTCTGGAAAAGAACGTCGACTTTCTAATGGCTAAAATTGACGACTTAGAAAACCGGAGCAGACGTAATAATTTGATTGTGTAGGGAATTCACGAAACAGCGGATGAGAATAGCACCTTTCTTGAAAACCTTGTGAAGAAAGATGTGTTTGAAAGTATCCTGAAAGTTCAAACTGCTGGAATAGAAAGAATACATCGACTGGACAGGAAAAATCCAAACAAGACCAGGCCAATCATTCCTAAAGTACTCGATACTAGGGACAAAACTAAAATTTTGAGCAGTTGCCGGCTATTGAAGGGTTCGGCTTATAGCATTTCGGAAGATTTTTCCCCACGAGTGCAACAAATTCGAAAAAAGCTATGGGAAAGTGCCAAAGACCTACGAAAAAATGGCTATAAAGTTATCTTTCAACAAAATAAAAGTAAATGGCAAAGCTTTCCGCTGGGATGACATTGCGAACGAAAGAGGGCCACTAACTTATACCAGGCGAGACGATACTAATTGACTACGGGCCAGTACCCCCCCAGTTTTAGAGCGGTTTCCGTCAACTGCTTCTGAAAATAATCCTTGTATTGTAACTAATAATCCCCACACTGCAACTAATAAACCGCTTCGATTGATTAACTTAAACGCTAGAAGCATTGTGAATAAAACGGTGGAATTCGAAGATATAATTCTCAGTTATGACCCCGATGTAATAATAGTTACAGAGACTTGGCTCACGGATGGTAGATCTGAAATTGAGATTGTTCTTATAAAATTGTTCGTAAGGACCGTTCCTCCCGGGGAGGGGGGTTGGAATCGGTAGCAAAAATAGCATTGATTTTTTTCAGCTAAATCCGAAGTTCACAGCTGAGGCTCTATGATTGAAACTTTTTTTCTGTAACTCATTTCTTCTTGTTGGAACTGTTTACAGGCCACCAAGTGCTGGCATAGCTGTGATGTATGAACTTCAAGACTTCTTACAGGAGCAATCTAAGAGTTTCATGAATACAATTATGGGGGGTGACTTCAACCTTCCAAACCTCGATTGGCCTTCGATGACCACAGTGGCCTCTCGTAAACATTCCGATGCTTTAATTCGCATATAATCTAACACAAATAGTGTCAAGTCCCACTCGCATCACAGATTCTACTAGTTCGATTCTTGATCGTGTTTTTGTTTCTCAGAATTTGTATGTTGCCGATGATCACTTTCTGGTCACAGGGGGATTATTCGACCACCATATGGTTGTTTTGATTGTCCGGGACTGGTCCCCAAACGTTGTCCTGATAAGAAATCGAAGTTTAAGAACTATAAGAGAGCACAAAACGAAAGTATAATAGATTACCTCGAGCTATCGTTCGACAGATTTGCTGATACGGCTTGTGGGGATTCCTCTGGTCTCCCTTCCCCGATGGCTGTGATAACGGCCGCGGGTCGGAACGCTCGGCCTTCTTCGCCGTGAGCTCCGTCCTGTTCGTGAGGCAGAGGGCCGCCTGGCTTGGGGGGCTCTCCTCTCACTCTCTCCCGGGGGGACCTCTTTCCGTCCCCCCGCTCGGATGCGGATCACTGCTGACCGGCGAGGAGGTTTCGCCTCCTGTTTTCCCGCTTTCGGGAAAGGGACTCGTCCGGGTGACCGCGAAAGAGATAGGACGTGCGTCGGCGACTTCTCCGATGCTTCCCCGGTCTTGGCTCTCCGGAACCCCGCGTCTGGCCAGGTAAGGACCTTTTCTTACCTTGCCGGCGCGGGGGGCATTTTGGATGGGGACATAGTAGTTCATTTTAAGAGTGTTCCAATAAATGCTCTTGGACTCTGTCCTTACTCTGGTACGTGTGTCTTCTCTTCCGCTATATTCGAAAGAGTGAGACAAGGTAGACGATCATTGGCACCGACGGAGGTAATTAATCGAACCGACCCGCGGTAATGTAGCCCTAAACGTTCGTCTACATTGCCGCGGAGATGTGGGGACCGCGGGCTACTAGGTTTGACGTCTCCTTTGAGATATCGCCGCTGTTGAGACAACCCTTTGGTTACTCTATCGGTACCTGTGTTAGTTGGTAGCTAGCAAAATCCCACATAAAATGGCGCCCAACGTGGGGCCACGGCTTCCTTTATCGTGGTCGTGGCTCCTGGCCTCCGCCTCTTTTGTCCGGCCTTTGCCAGCAATTCCTTGCCTTTGATCGCCCCGTACCACGAGCGTCCTTATCTCGCCAATTATGGCTGAGCGATTAATGCCGAGTCGGCAACCCGCAGTGCCACTCCTTTGAGCGAGCGCAGTGTGATTCGTGCGCGTGTTCCTGTTTTGAATTGGCGTGCGTCAAGCAACATTCGTTGTTGCGGGAGGCCCTTTGTTCTCCATGCTTGAGGCGAACCCTTCACCTGTGTGTATTTGGGTTCCTTGCGCGCCACCAACAACTTGTCCTGAAGGGAAAATGTATATAGAAGTTTTGATGATGTTTTTCAGAACCGGGCGGACTTTTATGTCCGGCGGCGAGCGAGGCTTTGCAGAAAAGAGTAGCGAAGGATCAGCAGTGCAATCTGGGAATGTAAATATTCGCGTTTTCTTTGACTCGGAGTAGTCGCGGACACTCATTTAGAGTCGGACGGTACGCCTGCCAATAACGTCGATAAGTAGCTGGTACTGCTACTGACGGGCTCCGGGAGCCGGGCCGCGTAACCGTCGGCGTCGAGAAGCAGTTCGCATACTGTTGACGCGCGCGCTGGATTCACTGCTGGTATTGCAGTGGGCGCGGAGGGTTTTCTTCGGGAAAGATTTGTATCTGCTTGATGCCAACGTATTCCGCAGCCTGTTGTTGTTTTCCAAGAACGACACTAGTTTTGCGTTCATGGTGGTGGCGCTACGCGGTCTGAGGCGCACTGTGACAGTATCTGGGTGGACGAGTGACTCTAAGACTTTCGGAGGTTATGTTGCTCTGAAACCCGGGCGCCATGTAGCCAGAGCGCCCTTTGGCGATATCTGTCAGACTCGCGTGATCCAGGTGGAAGAGTGACTCTAAGACTCTTAGCAGTTACGTTGCTCTGAAACCTGGCCTTGCCTCAAAAGAAGGGTCCACACCGTTGTGAGCCCTTGATCAAGCCGTATCGAGTGCAAGACATGTTTTTCTACCTTCGGTAAGCTAGCTAGCTCAAATATTTGGCGAAGCTGGCAGGTTTGAGCGTGTGAGCTGCGGCCCCTTTTGTCTTCCTCCGTGGGGAGCAAGATGGCGGCTATTTTGCGCGGGAACTTGCATCTTCCCCGCTCGCAGACGCGCATGCATGGCGGTTTCTTTCTATCCGCCCCTTCGAAGTCCCCGTATCTCTTTACCTCGACTTCAGAAGACGGGCCAGCTGCAGACTGTTATCTGTTTTTGGCCACTTATAGTCAACGGACTCTTCCGGTAACTATAAAACCGGGTAGTGTGGGCAGCCTCTGTGTTAGCTGCCTGTGCAAAGGATTGAGAACTCGGCGTTTTTCCTAGAAGCTCTCTCCCCGGGGCCCACATTAAGCGAACTCAATTAGTTTGCTTGGAATGTGGACGCGTTTCGAACGGTGGGGCCCTCTTTTTATGGCTTCTTCTTCCGGTGTCGAATCGGGTCACTCTGGCATGTTCCTGTCACCGTTGACAAACTGGCCACCTTTTTTGTGGTTTTTGTTTGTCGTTTGCCCCTGTCCGTTTTGCCGCCTTTGCGGCCTGAGGCAGGCGAGCGTCGGTTGCGCGCGTCCCCTCGTTTGGAGGCGGCGGCGCCCTTTCTTCCCTTTCGGGAGGTCTACGGCCGGCTCTGGGCGTGTTGGCTGCTGGCGCATTTCGACTTCCCAGGTCTGCTCCGAGGTCGTCCACCCCCCTTCACCAGCCCACTGCGGCCGAGATGGCGCCGAACCCCCCGGGCAGCGTGTCTGGGACTTCCCCAGCTGGTCTCCGCTGGTGGGCGGCGGTCGTCGGTCTTTTTTTTGGTGCTGCCGCCTTCACGACCGCCTGACTGCCCCCACTGCAGGCCAGCTCGTACCGCGACACCTGGGTCCAGCGGCGTCAGCGCGGTGCCTGTGATGCTCTGCCGTGCTGTGGCGGCGACTGTCAAGTGCTTG